GCCTGCCTCCGGCTTCCCTCCAAGCAAATCCTCTCAAGCATAAGGTCTAATGACCTGTAAGTTGCAAGCATAATGTCTCAGCATATTGCAGCAAGGAACAAGCACCAAAGCATAAAGCTCCAAATATGAACCTTGAAGAATCTCCCAATTTTTCTCGGATGGCTCCACCAGCCTTTGCCAAAACATGCAAGACACCTTCTCTAATTATCTCATTATCATCTTCAAGCAGATGTATCAAATCTTCCTCAATTCCAGTAAGCAGCAATGGACAGAAACGTGCAAGAATCTGCAATGCTCATCAAAGAAAGACATGAATTGAAGGAAGCGCAGAAAAGGAAATAACATACTTCCTAAAACAATAATTGATCAAGTCAGAGATGACGCTTTTGTAGTAGTGACATCCGATGGTAGTAACGCATCGAGTAGCTCAGAATTTATAGGGCACTATAGTGTTAGACTGATTCTTAAAGATGCGATAGTTTTGCAAGCAATACCATTATATCAAGATACACCAATGCATCAACCAAAAGCCCCTTTTTTCACTTCTCTCCTTTATAGGTAAACACAATGAAGTCTAGCAAACAAACATGAGGACAAGAAAAATGCAATTATATAAAAGAAGCAAGTTAGTATTAATTTACCACAAGTATATGTGTGCAGCACAGAATCAAATCAGTGCTTCCAGCAGATTTTTGTATGTTAGTCTCCTGAAGGATTGCATTTACATGCTCCTTGTTGAAAAGTACATATGAGCACTTCAATGACAGTGTGCCCAGAAAGTCATAGAGCCGATGCTTCTCACCAAGGATCTTGAGCAATTCATCCTGACAGAGAATATAACATCACATGAGAACTGCCATGTACTCATACATTCATAGGCATTGCAGCGGCTTTAATCTATCAGTAAACAAACAAGATGTGAGAACCCTACATTATAATCAAAACTAGGTATTCTCCTTACCCGAGAACTAGAAGCTTGAATAGAGTTACTGTTTGGATCAAGGAGAGCTGTTAATATCCTCCAGACATTAGCATCTTTTAACTGATCAAGAATCTGAAAGCTCTCTTCTGCCTTTCCAGGATCAGTAAAACAACGAGACATGATTCGGAAGCAAAATACAACTTTCTTTAAGATCTCAGTGGCATCGCCATCCTGCAATTATTTTACATTGAAGTTCAGTAATAAGCTGATGCATTCACCTTTAGCCTTTTATTGTTCAGAAAGAAAGAGTGAAAGAGTTGCAAACCTGGTGCATCTGCCTTAAAGAAAGATACCTCCTCATCTCTTGCTGCAACCTGCAGCGCAGTCCAAAACTCAATGAATATGTAGTTCAGATTGTACTACAAAAGTGAGATAAATAGAGACAGAAACAACATCCAGGAACACCTGACATCCAGATCAAACATTCATGACAAACCTTTGCTTATGCTCCAGCAGCTTCTCAAGCGCTCTAATCTCAACCTTGTCAAAACTCAAGAAAACCCTAACCCATTTTTTAACTTTATCCTTGATTGAGAATTCACTTGGAAACAAGGATGAGCAAAGAATGTGTTCAACGATGTCTGATCTGTAGACAAAGACACTAGTCAATAATGTATTTACCAAATGCTTGCCAAATGAGCCTGTTCAAAAAAATATAAAATTTCTGATGTTGCAGCTTCAGATTCCAAAACTCCAAGTTAAGGTGTGGCCCAGAGCACACATTAGGAACATGGAGTCCCATTCAGGAACTACAATATAACTTGCGGTCTGTGTTTACAGTAGAAGCTTCACTTGCCAATTACTTAAGATTCCACAAGGAAACAACTTAATAGTTTAATTCTCAATTTCTCATCATTTGCTAAGAAAATAATTCATCCATCTTTCACTTATCAAAATCATAATATAGCCTTCCGCAAACAGCAATGGCAAGTTACCTGAAATCCTTGTCATAAAAACATCTCAAAATCCTCCCTGGGATCCAATCATATTCGTCGCCTTTAATTGAGCCAGTGGAAGAGTTTAAGCAATAGATTCTGTATATATCAGCCAGCCTCTCCAGCGTGTATTTTTTAACAAGAAGCTGAATACATAAGACAAGACAGCTATCAGAAGATGGAGTAAGAATTCATTAATTGTCAATTTCAAAGTCAAATAGACTCTTAAAACTAGACAAGTTACATACAGATTTATCTCGAATGCGCTCTGCTACCAGCTTAATCATTTCAACCTTTATGGACGTAAGGGTGTTACATGCCGCATCACAAAGCACGGCAACAACTTGTTTGCGCACATTTTCATCATAATCCAACAGCCGGTCCCGAAGGGCAGCTAGAACATGTTTCAATTAGATTACCAACTGAATAAATAAATAAATAAATAAATAAATAAAGATTTCCAATATTCTTACATATGATCTGAGGCGCTTCTTGTCTAAATGGATTTGACAGCAGACATCCCTTGACATGTTCAAGAACAGACATTCGGACCTCAACTATTCTATCAGTAAGTCTCTTCAAAAATTCCAAGAAAATTGGTTGAAAGGCTTCAGAGATAGCAGATCCCGACAGAGCAAAAAGATCCCCAATTAAGTGTACAGCTTTTAATCGTACATCCAGCTGATCTGTCTGTCACATTCAAGCTTGTATGTTAGATTGTCAGAAGTAGGAAAGGGAAGAAAAGATCTCCTAGATAAATGAACATAAATGACTCTAGGTAACATATCTTGAGTTAGTCAATTACTTCAAGACTGACATCTGGAGGTACTCAGCATCAAAAAAGAAGCTAATGGCTAAAATCCTTTAAACTACACCAGCTACCTCAACAGGTCAACCAGGCCATAAAGAAGAGAGAAAAACAACGGCTAGTAAGTTTCAATAATGATTACTAAGTTGTGAAGACATTTTTTGAAAAACTAAAGCATGGATTCACACAGTTTACATTACTTCACAGGAAAAAAAATGATCTAAATAACACAGAGAGGGGAAGAAGAAATTAATGCACCAGTAGCTCTCCTGTGATGTAGGGAACAACTCCTGATAGGATCTGAGGAGCACAACGGTAAATATCATAAATGACTTCATGATAGTCAATTTCAAATGTTGTTGGCCTGCTGTCTCCAGACATTGAAGAAACAAGAAACTGTTTTATGCTGGGCTCCAATTTTCCTGCACACTCCTCTATCACCTTCATAGCGAGCCCCCTTCCAGCTATTGTAACACCCTGATAAAGTGTTAAAACCCAGTTCTTCAGGATAAAGCACCCAAAGAAAGAAATAAAAACTCCTGCAGATATATTTCATCATGCAACACAAACACTTACTTTCTTATGGCGACCTAGAACCGACAAAATGACATGTAAAAGATCCTCCCGAATATCCTCACTCTCTTCTATGAGAACAACCATAATAGTTTGCATTGATGTCAGAACACTATCTTGATGCTCGTCCCTACATACATGGTGTATAAGACAGGAAGTTATTGAATTTGGGGGGAAGTTGGAGCAACAAAAATTCGTATACAGCAGTAGGTACAATTTTTAAACTTTTAAGATAAAATTTCATCTCCCAACATATATGGACATACATTCATCATGATATGCACTTTGATCATATTTTCTAAATTAAGCACCCCAAATTAAGATATGCAGTGACACTTGCCTCTTTTTTTTTGATAAGTAGTGCAGTGACACTTACCTTGTTTTACCTTCTTCGGTTTTTTCACATTAGTGAGAGCCATACCAGATTATTTTTGTTGCTTGAACAGGCTAAGAAACACTTTGAAATGGGGTCAAAGTAAAAACGGAAGTTTTACCCATGCTCTTTACCCAAAAAGCTGATGAATATGGCTTTCAAAAAGCAAAGTGGGTGGAAGAAGTTGTTCAAACATTTGTGGCATAAATGGGAGAAGAAGACAGCGATAGTGACCAAAAGAATATTGGACCTTACAAGATTTATGATACGTGGTTTGACAAAAGTCCTAGAAGTGCAACTAATTTTGGGAAATAAATTCATCTTCAAGGTGTGAATACGTCCTCCCACCTATTTTGACCTGCTCCCACCTTTTTCGCACTTTCTTTCGTATTTCCTTATCATTTTTTCCCCTCTCTTCTCTTTGTATAGAGTTTGATCTTTCTCCTTATCTTAAATTTCAACGTTTGGCATGTTCAAATGCGAGAGGAGTCAAATAGTGTTTGGCCCTATTAAGTCCTTTCAGCACGATTTATTGAGTACTAGTGTAGTTTCAACACAAAAACAACTGTTAGAGTTCAAGCCAGCCAATTGAATGGAAAAATAAAAGTATTTTGGCTCAGTACACATAAGATAGAGCAAATGGAAGAGAAAAAAGGAACATGTGAGAGCACACTCTGATGTTTGAGTTGACATGCTTAGGAAGAAAACCAACACTTCATTACTAAATGCCCCAATAACATCATTTGCCACATCATAAAGTTAGTAAATGTCATCTGATTTGTAAGGTGGTGTCAAGTCTGTGGAGGGTGGTTCTGAACTGTTTCAGATACACAGTGGGTGATGCCAGGTACAATAAGAAAGGTGTTGCATAGCTGTGCATTTAAAGCAGGAAAAGAACAACTTGAGAGATTGCCCATTTGGCCCTTATGTGGGCAGTATGGGAGGAGACAAATATGTGAGCATTTTGAAAATGACTTTGTACATTTGCAGAATAGCCTCTTGCATCTTTTCTTTTTGACACACCTACCAGATAGCTAATTATATAGAAGATTGGGTGTCTTTTGTAGATAACCATATTTGAATGTATTCTTGAGAATGCATGTTTCCTACTTATTAGTATACTACTTGAATACAGGAGCTTTTCCCAGGATTTATAAAATATTTACCTTTCTAAAAAAAGGGTATTTAATGTCATCAAAGACCAGAAATTGGTAACAATTTGTTTTTAGCTGAGCCAAATTCTTCAGAAAGCAAGAAATTGCAGCGGCACTACTAGGTGACAAGTCTGCCACAAAGTTTACTGACAAGACCTTCTCATACAAGATAAAGCTCACCTGACAACACTGAGAAAAGTCCGGAACATTTCATTGATAAGATCATCACACTCGAGATCCAGCATTACAACACATGATCTATATCTTGCTAGAGTTTCTAAGATGACAACTCTTCTTCCAAAGGATGGACTATTTATATCACCTAAGCCGCTGAAAGTGCTGACAATCAAATGGAAGATGTCCTGATTCAAACCAAAGCACAAAACAGGTTTTTAGCTGCTCCATAAATTGAGGGCATATAAATGTGACACCGAGTCTCTTTACAATTATATATAATTACCTTTAGAACATCATCACTGTAAGGAGCTTCAGGTGCAGTAATTCTTGTTATCTCACAGATACAGGTGGCAACAAGAAGCTTAACCTCCCTATCTTGATGCTTTAGGAGTTCTGGTTTAACCATAGCAGCTTGTAAGGGCTGCATGGCCTCCAACATAGCTTTTGGCGGTGACTGCTCCAACTCAGAAAGAAATGTTGTGCCTTGCTGCTTGTGAAAAATTCAATCATGTATTACAGGTTTGTAATAGATTCAATCAAACATTACAGCAACGGCAAGGTGAAGGATATAACTGAATCTCAAGTTTGTGAAAACACGAATCTTAAAGCAGTCACGAGGTTATAAAAGCAGTTTGAGAATAGAAAACCACTTCTTTAAAACCCATATGCAATAGACAAATATCCAAAATCTCCTAACAGAAGTAAAAAGTAAAATGCTCATATCCAATTGTACAAAAGAAAACAAGTTAAACCAAGTAAGCTCATATTAAGAGCTGTGCTGGATAGACACTAGACACTGGATAGGTAAGCATAGAGTTTCACAAGAAATGGCACTCAAGAGAAGTGCCCAATACAAGATTTCAAAACAAGATACACAGACCCAAAAGATAACCGGTTACAAGGACACTCAATTTGCGAACTGACCCAAAGAAGCAAAGACCAAAAAGACCCAAAAGCAGACAGCCTAAAAATATTGGGACAAGATCACAAGATCATCATCAAGACAAAAACAGTCAAACTACAGATAGCACAAAGTTGAGACAAGATCATCATCAGAGCACCACACGATGCAGTATAACCATTAGTGGGATGTTTGAAAGGATCTATAACTAGAAAAGTAGCAGCAAGCACTGAGTGCAAATTGTTAAAACTGAGAAGGTTTCAAAGCGCAGAAAAAAGGCGGCTTCCAATTATCATGAAATGACTCTCATAGCAGGCAATTAGCTAGTTGATCAACAGATGGAGAACACATCAAACTTTAATAAGGAAATGATAAAGCACATAAAATGGGACGGACATCATTTGAAGCAATTAAAGATCAACATTAATATGTCTCTATTGATGTCGGGTGAGCAAGTTCCTGGTCAAAATTTATCTGCACTCGGTCATTACAACAGGCTGCATTTCCCTGCACTATCTTTGAGCGCCAAATGCCAACTTCATATATTCTAAATTTCTTATTACTATTTTAAGGACATAAACGAAAATTTCGATTAATAATAATCGCATTAATCACAAAAAACGTTGAAGAAAGTCATCAGAGAAAAGGTTTTAAATAAGTCTCAACTTTTTATGCAAGCAGGGGAAGTTTGTATTTTCTGGGTTAATTAATCACTCAAGGGATAGAATATTTTAAATGCAAAGAAATAAATGATCCATATAATGGGATTAGAAATGAAGCATGAGATTTCTGCACCTTTTCCATTTGCAAGAATCAACAGTGTCACCTTAGTATAAGGATCAAGAAAGAGTGACGTCCCCTTAATTTTTCTCGTTGTACTTATTCAAGTCAGTCATGAATCAATAAGCAAACATTAATCAAGAACATAACTTTTCAAGTCAGCTTCCACAAAATTGAAAAATAAGGACACACCAAACAGGAAACTAAAGAATCCGATCTACTGCAAAAGCAATCCAAGCAGATCTGTCGACCAAATTGACCGGAAAACATGCTCAATGTACAACTTTACTTTTCTATTTTGCTTTGGCAGATCCTAAATAAGTAAATAGAATAAGAAGATACTGAAACTTGCAAGACAGATACAGAACAAGCTTTAGTAATTAGCAGCTTTAGATACAGGTCAGTGTAGGGGTGGCAAACGGACGGGACACGACAGATATTGGCGGTTCGGAAATAGTAATGCAAAAAAAGGACCCGATCCATATTTAATATGGAAAAAACGGGTTAATTGGCGGATAATATGGATATCCATAGCTTCTTAAATATGATCACTTTTGGGAGAATTCCTAGTCTCCCAAACTTGAGGTCCCCCAATTTGAGGCTTTACAAATGTAAAAGTTAAACCCATTAGATATCCATCGGTTATCCACTGGTTATTCGTTTACTAAGTGGATAATATGGGTGGATAACTGTTTTCTTTTAACAATTTTGCCGCCACTAGGCCAGTGTAATGGGAGTTGTAATTTCAGGAGGTTCTGATAGTAAATGAGCAATCTTCAGCAAGGCCTTTGGTTCAACTAGGTTTCAATCCCAAACTACTGGGGTCCGCCTTATGAATCTTTTGTATCCATCAACTCATTCCAATACTAAATAATCTGTTTTTTATAAGGCAGACAAGGTTTTTCCAAACTACAGAATTTACTTCATATTGGTGTTTGCACCAAAATAAGGAAATTTTAAGAGACTACCATCATGACACTTTTTCCCTGCAGTAAGTGGCCAGAGGCAGCTAAAATTTTATGTTTATGATGTGGTGTAATTACCAAGATAACTGTGTGGTTTCTCATCCCCGGTTTTTTATTTTAAAAAATTTAATTGACAATCATAAGTCTATAACAGAATGGGCTCTGGATTCTGTTCAGATTGTCAATCACAAAGTCTCCCCCCCCCCCCCCCCCCCGAAAAAAAAAGTCATTCTATCTTTTAGCATATATGGCAATTTTCTCATCAGCAAGGTGGTCAAATGATGCAGTGTCTAATATGAATAAAGGCGCCTTATTTTGGTTGGGAGTTAACTCAAACTGCACTTAAGTGTGTCTATCCTAGTGACACTATAGCAGGATGAGCAAACAGAACCCATAATATATACTCACTCCGTTTCAATTTCCGTTTCAATTTATATGAACCTATTTCCTTTTTAGTCCATGCCAAACCTATCTGGAAACAATTTACCTTTATGCAATGATTTATAGCCACACAAAATATATGTGTTTCGTTTTAGGCCACAAGTTCAAAAGTATTCTATCTTTTCTTAAACTCTGTGCCCAGTCAAATGTGTTCACATAAATTGAAACGGAGGGAGTAGCTATTTATCCAGCACAGTGTATAAGGAAACAAAGTTATACACATCCTCATCTGCAACCTAAAGTTGAAAGCTTTAAATTTGGATTCTTCACGTCCTTCAGTTTCTTAATTTACTTTTTTTAAAAAGGGGAAGAATTCAATGAAATTTTCCCAAAATTTAGAGGAAGTGGAAAAATTAACTAGCCATACCAGAATCGTCAGAACAAATGGAACTGCAATAAAACCCGAAAAAAAAACTACATACAGAATGGTTCAGAAGTAAAAAGGTAGCTTAAAACAAAACAAAAAAAAGGGACTAAAAGTGGGAATAGGCCCAATTTTTACAATACATCAAAAGAAAAATGAAAACGAAGAAAACTTTATATCCAATTTAAGGAATAACAAAAGGAATCTGCAAACGAACCCTAATTCAAGTGAAATAAGTGGGGAACTCTGCATGAGCTTCAACTAACTATATATTATGTCGAGCAAAAAACGGAGAAGACAGCTAAATATTAGCAGTGCATTAAATGTGAAAGAATTCACAACAAGAAGTTAAATTAAGAGGAGAAGAAAAAGGGATATGGCACCTTTAAGAGCTTGATAAGAGAGTCTTTGGTAGAGGGAGGGTCGTCAAGCTTGGATCCCAGCTCCTTGAGCTGGAGTTGCAGCTTTGAACCCATTATCTTTCGTCTTCTCTTTGTCTCTTTTGATGTGGGAGAGAGTTTTAGGACATTTAGCTCCGGAGGAAGTGGGCTTTTCTGTTTTCGACTGACAAAAAAGAGAGAGTTAAGTTGAAAGAAAATAGAAAGGGCACACACCCGATCGAGCTTCTCTTGACTTCAGCACCCTATTTATCCCCAGATTTACTTTGCTGAACTGGTTACCGATTTTTCTTTTCATGTCCCTCTATCTCATCTTATTTCTATATGTTACACTCAAGTTCCAATTATATCATGTTACATCCGCCTGTAGACTGTCTTCCTCCCGTTTCAAATCTCGTGATTTAATTTCTTTTTTCTTTTCACAAAAAGTCAATAAAACACTTATTCTTCAAAAATAAATAACTTTTTCTTATGTGAGATATACTTATAAAATAAATTTTAAAAATAATACGACATATAGAATAGATTATCAAGTGTTCTATTTGTCCTATTTTAAGTAAAATGGTTTAATGACACATGAACTTTAAAAAATCTAAGAAATAACATGCAAGTTAAATATGTGTAGAGTGCCAAATTATCTTATAATATGAATAATTGTGAGAGTTCATGTATCTTCTGATTATAAGATATTTATTGTTGTTTTGAAAAATACTATACATAGTCTTTGCAGTGAAAGCACAAAAAGTTAGTAAAAATATGTATCAATGTACATTTATTCTTCAAAAATAAATAAACTTTTTCTAACGTATGAGATATACATATGAAATAAAATTTTAAAAGTAATATCGCATATAAAATAAATTATCAGGTATTCTATTTATGCTATTTTACATGAAAGAGTTTAATTAGACGTAAAATTTAAAAAATAACAAGCAAGTTAAATATAGGTAAAGTGCTAAAATTATCTTATAAAATAAATAATTGTGACAGTTCATGTGTCTTTTGATTTTTCTCAATGATTTTATATTAAGCGAATCCCAACTGGTCACTTATTTAAAGTAAAAATAAGATTATTAATTGAATAGTTTTCAAAACGAAAAGGTTTTTTTTTTTTTTTTACAAAATGAAATTGGAAAATATGTTGAATAGTAACTACTTGTGATTAGGGGTGTGCATGGATCGGGTTGGCTTGGTTTTGTCAGCTTTTTCGGGTTTTCCATATTTTTTGTTAATTAATATTATTTCAATCTTACTTTGTTAAATTTTTGATAAGTAAATATATGTTTAGTAAAAATTTTAAAAATTGACAAACATATTATCTATTAAAATATTTTAATGGGATAATCTACTTAGTAACACATGGTAGTTATTTTTTTAGTCGTCCAACAATAGTTTTTCATTGATATACACTAGGACTGGGCATATATCGGGTATAACCGATAGCCCGAACCGAAAAAAGGTTATTGGGTTATCGGTATCGGGTTATTGGGTTAACGGTTCGGTAACAGTTTAGTATTTTTTTTACTATTGGGTTATCGATTCGAGCCTCGATTTACCATTTTTTCTTAACGGGTTAACCGATAACCCAAAAAAATTTAATAAAATTACGATTTTATCCTTAAGTATATAAATACATCTAGGACTTCATTCTCTCTTTTTCTCTGAATTTTCCCAATCGCATTTCACTCATTCAATTATTCATTACTTCTTCTTCAAAACTCAAAGTACAATCACATTCTTAGAATCTTAGAGTAAGAACCGTAAGTTTGTATTCCAAAATTTGAAATTTAATACTTTTTTCTTAAGAACAAATTTCGTTCCTTTCTTTTGAGTTTTACAGTAGATTCCTATAATAAAAATATAGGATTTTTGATTGTTTTTGATTTATTATTTTGTGCTCGTGTTTTATAATTCTGTATTTTCGATTATCATTTTATGAGCTCATGTCGACTATCGTGCAGCCTATACCAAAGGTCGACCAGTTTCTTTTCTCAATTCTCAATCGGCAATCTCCATCAATTCGGGTAAGTTTATGATTCTCTTCCTCACGTTACAATTCTCATTTTCCTCATTATTTTTTGGGTCACTCTTTTTGGATTTTCTAACTCATTGTTTGAGGTTGTTTTGGATTTAATTCGAGATAAGTACAAATTCACTATATCACTTGTGAATCCATCCACTGTTTTATTGATTATTTTATTGCATTTTTAAGGTTTGTTGGCTCGTTGCTTGATTTTTTTAATTAAAACATACAGTGACACAAACGCATGGCTTGAAATATCACAACTGATAAGGTGATTGGTGAAAGTGGAGCTTCTAATTCAAATGTCATAACACAATCTCAATCACTTCAGTCAACGGTAAGGAAAGGGAAAAAAAGGTCTCGTGCATGGGATCGTTTTGACCAAATTGTTGATTATGAAGTAAATAAAAAGGGTGTCTGTAAATATTGCAAAAGAGAATATTTTGCTGACACAAAAGATAATAGTATGAAAGCACTGCTTACTCATATGGCCAATTGTAAAAAAATGCCTTTGAATGTTGAAACAAGTCAATCAAAATTAGTCTTTCAATAGTTGTTGTTCCTTGGAAATTTGATCAAGAACAATGTAGGAAGGCTTTGTATGGTGATTGTTGATGAACTTCCTTTTAGCTTTGTTGAAAAGGAAGGTTTTATAAATTTTATAAAAGTTGCACAACCTTTTTTCGAATTCCTTCCCGTAGAATTGTGAATCGGGACTGTTTTGATCTTTTCAATGAGGAAAAACGTAAGTTCGTGAAGCTGTTTAAAGATCAGAGAGTTTGCTTTACCACTAATACTTGGACTTCTTTACAACAAATAAATTATATGTGTATTAATATTCATTGGATTGATAATGAATGGAAAATGCATAAAAGAATTTCAACTTTTGTCTAATTTCTAGCCATATGGGTGAAGATATGGCAAATAGTATTGTTAATTATTTGAAAGAGTGGGGGTTACAAAAAAATTTCACTGTCACAGTTGATAATGCTAGTTCAAATTACGTGAAGGTGAAGGAGCTTTCTAAGAAGTTAACTAAATGGGAGACCGATTCCATGAATGGTAAGCACTTTCACATGAGGTGTATGGCTCATATTATGAATCTTGTTGTTCATAATGGTATAAAAAATCAACTGTGTCTATTGAACGATAGGCAAGCTGTGAGATATATCAGGCAGTCTCCTTCTAGGTGAAAAAAGTTTCAGGAATGTTGTGATGAAGGAAATCTAGTTAGGAAATCTTTATGTTTGGATGTTCCTACAAGGTGGAATTCTACATACTTGATGTTGAACATGGCTATTGAATATGAGAGTGCAATTTTAGAATATGTTGATCATGATATTGGCTTGTCATATTGTAAGGCCCCGTAAAATATTTTCCAAGAACTCAAGGTTTGCGGTGCCTAGGTAGGCTAATGTGTAAGGCCCCTTGAATTTCTATTGCTAATTCGATTGATTTCGATATTAGGAATACAATTTAATTTAGACTCGAACCACATGAGAATTACTGGAGTGAATAAAGTTATTTGGATACTTGGGAATAATTATTTTATTAATCTTTGAGTGTTGTAATAATGGGGAACCCTTGGATGTTACTTTCAAAGCAATAAGACTAAAGAAAATATAGTGATCTATCTCCCCATAGCGCAGCTATAGCACGGGAAGGAAGCAGAAAATTTTAGCAAATCAGTGAGCTAAAGCCTTATAGCACAGGGATAACATCAGTGGAAAAATACTGCACCTGATTTTAGCAAACCAGTGAGCTAAAGCCTTATAGCACAGGGATATCACCCGTGAAAAAATATTGTACCTGGGCCTATTAATATATGAGCGGGGAGAGAGAAGAATAAAAGGATTTCAAGACTAGGGTTTTTCTCTCCCTCACATATCCGGCCAAGGCTTCCAATATACACCTAAGGTGAGTTTTTAAGTGTGTTTTTATGATGATTTCACTTCTCAATCACTAGTTACAACAAGGTTTTGATTGGATTCCATAGGATTTCTTCAAAATCTCAAGAACACCCCAAAAGTTGACTTTCAAGATTTAATCTACAAGAGGTAATATTTCACCCTAAACCTACATGCATGGATTGTTAGTGAATAAATGAGCAAGGAATAAGTACTAGCACTTATGAGATGGTGATTGGAAGCCATAAATACTTAAACTAGATTATTGGGTATTGTAGAGATTTTGTAATGAGCTAATTAGTGAAATTTGGTGGATGTGAGTTCATTGATGATTATAATGGTGCTAAAGAAGGTTGTTAGTAATCAAAGGATATTGTATTATATCTTGTTGGTGGGAATGAGGGATTGTTGGATGAAGAAACACCATTACTAGAGGTAGTTGAATGCTATGCACTCTAGGTGTTTGATAAAATGTCAAAACGACCAAAAAGCCTGGAAATCTTTACTAATATTCGTCCAATTAAATTATGTTGATGTAGATTGAAGTTTTAAGAGTAGTATGTGGTTTTAGTAGCACTAAAGAGCTCCATCAAGGTATGTTGGCTAAATTTTCTCTCTTGGAATTGAATTCTATAATGTTTTCGTAAGTTTCAAAGTATGGGTTACGTATTAAAAGGTTATGGCTTTGAGTCGTGTTTCAATAAAAGATAGTATGCCAAATTGTGTGAGAAAATCTCGATATTCTTAAGAATCTTAATTGCTCATATGTGTACCTAAAGTCTTGATTTGGAAATGTCTTATTGTTTATAATCTATAAAGATGGTTGGAAGTGAAATAAGTTAATTGGGGATATAGAGTGTAGCCAATGTGCCAATAATTTAAGTTATGATTGTGTCTAGTAGTGCAAATGATTTGAGAAGATGCGATAAAGAATGTGAAATGAGCCTCGATTCTATTGTTTAAAAATGACTTCGAAGATAGAATTGTCTAAAAGCTTTTGTACTAAATTCATGCCTATTAGTGGCTGCTTTAACTAATGCTTTGATTTATAAATATATCCAGTGTGATTCGAGTTCTATATACTCATGTGTTGAAATTGTACATTGTCATTTCTGGGGAAGAGTATTGCAAGAGTAAATGGTGTATTGATTGTTTATGATTTTTCATGTGTGTTTCTATTGTTGGTTGGTATGCCTCATTCTTTGGGAAGAAACCATTTGTGTTTGAAGTTTCCATTTCAAATGGATTTGAAGTATATGATTTCTAAAATATCCTATATGTTGATACTTGATGGTGATCTTTGAAAT